AAACCGAAAATATACTACTACAAAAAAGGCAGAGCCACAAGATTAGCGGCTAAAACAAACATTCAACCCCTCATCTTACAAAATTGATAGGTTTTAATCCTTAACTTTATAATATGACATTTTTAGCTCTTTATCTTACAAAATTAATAAATTTTAACCCTTTATCTTATAAAGTTGGTATGTTTTAGCCCATCACCTTATATTATGACACTTTTAACCCCTTATTTATACGAATTGAAAAAAATAACCTTTATTTAACATTAGATTTTAATATTCTATTAGTTTTGTTAGCTGACTATCAGTTTTGTTAACTGACTGTCAATTTTATTAGCTGACTGTTAATTCTGTTAGTTGACTGTTAGTATCAGTTAATATTATGTTAATGAAACTAACAACTAAAATTGAATTTAAATTTTATATTTTTTATAATGAAATGCTAACCGATGTTAACAGTCAACTAACATAATGTTATAACCTGATGTTAGATGAATGTTATTTTCTTTAATTCATATTGGTGATAGGTTAAAAATATCATAATATAAGGTAAAAGGTTAAAACTTATTAACTTTATAAGGTGAGGGATTAAAACTACCAACTTTATAAGATAAAAGGTTAAAATTGTGATGTTATAAAATAAGGGATTAAAACCTATCAATTTTATAAAGTAAGAGGCTAAATGTTAGTTTTTGCCCAAGATTAGTGAACGATAAAAATAGTGAAATAAAATTGTGTATGAATCATTTTCTGGAATGGCGCACCTCTTGATTTCCCTTTTTAATTACGGGGATTCATCAACAAATAAAAAAAAAAAAGAATAAGTAAATAATAAGAGCCAAAAGGACTAAAGCTGTTGAGGTCACAGTCATAGCCAGCTTTTTTTAATGCCACATGATAGCCACCTGCTTTTCCTTGTTGGATGGGTGCTGTGCATTTAATAATCTTGTTACAGAGCCAGCCATCATTCATCTTCCTTCCTCATTTAAACTCTTGTCATGTGTTCTTACTTCTCCCAATGTGCCATTAACAAGCTCTGGGGCTGGGAAGAAACCCGAAATCAAAGCCAGGTTGACCCAAGAGTTTGGGACTTTGGTTGATTGCTGCAGAAGAAGTGCTTTCCTGAGTAACCATAATATGTGTTCTGATAAGTACTTTTCTGTTCAAGACAGTACACATTGTAATCAAAGGTTCAAGAGAAATGAATCCTCGTATTAAAGATGCTCAAACTTGCGTCGTAGCCAAAAAAATAATCTTTTTCGGACGAAATGCTATTTCAAATATATAT